GCATTTGCTGCGAAGTCAGACCAAATGGGCCCAAAACACCCCCCGCCTAAGGCCCTGCACCTTATATAAGCTCCGCACACACACCCTAAAGCCTCAAGCCTAAACCCNNCCTAAACCCTAAACCCTTAACTCAGGGGTTCCTCGACTATACTCCACACCACGTAGGTTCCCCCTCAATTAATTTCAATTCGCCTCCATCAACCAGAACTATCCCTACATGGGCCTGTGTGGAGTGGCAGGGGAAAATAATGGAAACCTAGGGGAGGGCGGGCAAGTTATTCCTGGGTCAGAAGGGGAATCCATGGTGGTTGAGCCTAAACTTGCCAACCCACATTGTAAACCCTCAACTGCGAAACCTCAATTCCAATTTTAAGCCTGCAACTTCCGTGCAAAAATAATTAAAGGATGCGTGGTGTGTACCGAATCTTTGTATTTGTATCCTAAACCCTGAATCTCCAACCCTAAACCCCAAAACCCTTTGGGCCCCCAGGCCCGCGGCTCTGGGCGGTGCGTACTTGAGGATCTGCAAATGGGGCTGAGGTTTCTCTAGGAAACCCTCAAGCCCAAACCCGCAACCCCAAAACCACAAACCCAACTAAACCCTAAACCTCAAACCTTTCTCCTCTGAGTTACCTGGAACCTTGGGAAAAGCTACAATCTGAATTGCTGGTTCTGAGGGTTTAGGGTTTAGGGTCTAGGCCTATGTATAGATAAGAGGAATTGCAATTATTTTCAGGACGCTTCCAGAAGCTTCTTGGTGGGTAGTATGGAATGAGGGAATATAACCCCTATATGATCTAGACTTTTATATTCCCTGTTCCCTGCTCATCCCCAAAAACCCTAAACCTTGAATCCCAAGTAAGGAAACACGCAAGGCCCAACGAGTTGGCGAGACACTCCGTCACAGGATCTAGCAACGCCCACCGCGGGACCTGTGGGTGGAGATACCTGAACGTTCATGCACTTATTCAGAACTCGGCGGGCTTCAAGTTATTGGGCTTACGGGTACTGGCTAGGGCTCCGGGATCACTGCTTTGGGATTAGCACTAAATAGTAGTTTCTATTTCCTTCCCATTGTCCCAATATATCCCCTATATTACCCCTATATATCCCCTATATCACCCCACGGGGCCAACGATTTTATTTCCCCGGCAGCATCTCACAAACTTCGCTGGGCTAAGGGCTGAGGACTTTGGGCATGGTACTTCATTAATAGATGCGCCTGTCTAGGGTTTTTGTGGCTGCCATGCGCTTCCCAACTGCTTGACATGACGTGCAAAGAGACCTTTTTAGCGCGTAGGCGCAGTCACAAGATGTGCTTCAAACCTTGAATCCTAAGTAGCACTTATTTTATGCTTAGAATATCATGTCGATACTCCGTGGCGGTGTACTCTGCATATGCTTCGAGACTAGGAAGAGCGATTTCCACGTTTAGCTCTAGCCAGTACCTTTGAGGCTGGCCATGTCTCGTACCCTTTGGGTATTTTATTCTATCCTTACATCCCGGGGAAAACATTATGTGATGAATCGGGTCTTCCGGCGGTTGAATCAAGGATTTGGCGAATTGACTCAGCCGTAGTGAGGTAAGGGTTCATGAGGGATGGGCTACCTGCTAGTTTCCAGACTCGAGCGTTGGCGACGTGGGAATAGTATGAGGCTTTTATGCCCATACAATGGCGTAAATGTTAGGTACCACGCGTCGATGGTTTGAAGATGCATTCAGCCCGTAAAGGAGCTAGGGCACTACTGCAGCATGGTAGATTCGAACGGGCTTAGGTTTTAGGACACTGCACTGGCATATACGACTTTGCACAAGGTTTATTGATTGTAGTAGCTGGGTAAAATTCCCAAGTCCACAAGTGCTACAGCCTCAAGCCCTGGAAGGCTTTGCAGGCAAACCCTGTAGAATTACAATCTCTGTATCTCCCCCTTGAAAATAGAAACTTCTGGGTGGAGCAGAGGCACAGTGGTGCACCCTAGCCAGGAAGCTGGTGCACGAGGGATAGGTGGACAGATAGACCGACAGACGGACAGACAAATAGAGACCCTAAACCCTAAACCCTAAACCCTGACACATCTAGATACCTGCACAGATGACTGTATCTGTGGCCAAGGATGGCCTCAGGAGTGCCCTCCAGCTCCAGAGACCAATGAAGGACCTCTCCAAGACCCAGACCCTAAGCCCTTAAGCCAAAAACCCTAAATCCCAAAAACCCTGATCCTTATACTCTGAAGCTTGGGTACTGCCCCCACCCAGTAACAGTCCATATTAGGGGTCCCATTAAGGGCTATATATAACCATATTATAACTATTATCCAACTGTTACTAAGGGGGGCAGTACCCAATCTAAACCCTAACTTTCGAATGGCATCCGAGTCGCAGCTTGAAGAGCTTTGATGATGAGATTGATTCCGGAGTTGTGGCATTGTCCTCTTTTAGGGTTTAAGGTTTAGGGTTCAGGGTTTAGGATTTAGGGTTTAGGGGATTCTCCAGGATCCCCAGATACCAAGGAGAAATTTTGTATTTGCACTGAAAGATGTCTACAAGAGACCCAGGACTTCAAACACTAAATTGGGTTCACAAGGTTCCACTCCCCAAACTTTGAACCCTGAACCCTGAACCCTAAACCGGAAGCCCTGGCGTCTGCGCAAGCATGCCAAACTTCGGACCTCACACCTTCAACCTGTGAACCCCTCCGTCGAAGAAAAATAGATGGCGTGCTCACATGAGCTGCAGTCACAGGTCCCAAACCTTCAACCCCAAACCCTCAACCCTAATCCCTCATCCCTCAACCCTAATCCCTAGACCCTAGACCCTAATCCCAAATCTGACATCTAAACCACAAAAGGGCGTATGTGGTAACTGTCCAAAATAGAAGGACCCCAATATAGACCCTGATATACTCTAATCCTTATTCAACGGACCCCAAAAGGGATCCCTAATTTTGGGAAACTGCAACATGAGCCATAGTCTGAACTTCCAGTATCCCCCTTAACAGCTCCTATAGTAGTCCAGAATATATAATCCACTATATAACCTAAACCCTAAACCCTAAACCCTATCTTATACAATCCCCTATATGACCCTCCTCTAAGGGGTTTAGACTATGGCTCATATAGATAGTGCTTGGGGTTCGGTTAAAGGAGATCCGGGCTTTGGACTTATCATTCGGGTTTAGGGTTTTAGGTTCTAGGTTTTAGGGTTGAGGGTTTAGGGTTTTGGTTTGGGACCACATTCAAAGAATAAAGACTTACGTGACAAATACCCAAATGTTTGAAATTTGTTCCAAAGCACTTACACTACTTAAAATGGATTTGCTATTCCATTACTGAAATTCATGCTTAAAATGCTGCCAACGTTCCTATCCATTCATTACCACTTCCTCGAAATATCCATTCCCAATTTCCATTCCTGGAACCCAGTCTCGATTAAAGTTCACCACTGCCACATGCCTCACAGTTGCCAGCCACCACCATTGAAATTTCAGCGCGTAGCTACGTTCGCTACTCAAAGGTTCCGCAACGATGGTGAGACAGCATCCAGGACGACGACCGCCACAGTGCTGACAGCGACATCTACAGCAACCTTTTCCCGGAGGGGAGGGGACGGATGCGGGAGGGGGACGGGGACGGGGCGGCGGGGAGGAATGCAACAATCAGATTTGTTGAATGGGGCTCAGAGGGGAAAAAGGATGTAGAATTACGGTAAGACCACGTCTTCCATTTCTGGAGATGTTTCTCTGTCCCGGGCCCCAATCACTTCAAACCTCCAGAGAAGGAGAATCATAAGCTTTACGATGTAAATCATGCTCTTCAATTTTTGGCCTCCTGCCAAACTTCATTCCAGTTTCATTCGAAGCAACTGGAAACATCTATTTCCATTGCGTTTTTCAACCCCCCAATTCACTCTGTCTTGGCTTCCGGTCCAACTTCATTCCTGAAGGCCTGCCGAGGCCTCCGACGTCTTTGTAGTTATGTTGCAGTACAGGAAATATAAATACGAATGAAGAAAGGAATATACCCATGGTATCCTATGATGGCCGTATATAGTCGTTGCCGGGAAACCATGTGGCGAGCACATGTATAAGCCATAGAGCTGCCAGGTTTTTTTGGTAGTCTCCACTCGTGCTGGCAGAAGCTAATAGAAGTAACCATATTGGCTAGCCCAGGCGTGAATGCAAAAGACAGCTCTGCCAGCGAAGATTCTAGCTGAGCCGCGTCTTGACTAGATGATCTACGGACTAAATTTAGGTCCGGGGGGGGCTATAGGTGACTATTAATATAGGGTTTGGGGTGGGGACCTGTTAAGGGACATACTACACGACGAGTCCGGGGCTCAGATGATCTTTCGCGCCTTAGCCCTCAGCAATGCTGCCACCTGACCGTGCCCGCAATCTTCTGCGATCATGAGGGCTGTGTTGCCAGAAGCACCCTCCAGGTCCTTGTTAGCACCCGCGTCCACAAGCATCCGTGTGATCTCCACGTGCCCACTGCGAGCTGCGAGCATGAGGGCCGTGTTGCCGTTGCTAGCCTGAAGGTCCTTGTTAGCACCCGCATCCAGAAGCAGCTGCGTGATCTCCACGTGGCCATTCCCAGCTGCGAGCACAAGTGCTGTGCCAGAGGAAACCTGCAGGTCCGTGTCAGCACCAGCTTCCAAGCAGGCGTACAATCTCGCCGTAACCCTTCCGAGCTGCGAACATGAGGGCTGTGGAGCCGCCACGAGCCTGCAGGTCTTTCGCAGCACCAGCTTCCAAAAGCACCCGTACGATCTCCCCATGACCCTTCTGAGCTGCAAGCATGAGCGCCGTGTAATTGCTACTGCTACTGCCCATGTCAGCTAGCAGGTCTTTGTTAGCACCAGCGTCCAAAAGCAACCGTGCGATTTCCACGTGCCGATTCTCAGCTGCGAGCATGAGGGCTGTTTTGCCGTTGCGAAACTGGCGGTCCTTGCCAGCACCCGCATCCAGAAGCAGCCGCGTGATCTCCACGTGGCCATGTTCAGCTGCGAGCATGCAGGCACTGTAACCTCTGTGGTCCCTAGAGTTCTTGTTGGCACCAGCTTCCAAAAGCCGCCTTGCGATCTCCAGGTCGCCTTGCACGCATGCTCCAGTAAGCTCTTGTGCAGCCTCCACCCGTTGCACCTCGCTAGAAACGGTCAAGAGGACTAATTGTAAGCCGACGGGGGCATTCAGCTCGGTGGAATTGTCCAAGCAAATGCCATTGTGCAGGAACTGTTGCACGCACAGTGGGTATCCATGACGACGACGCAGCGAAGCTTTCAAGGAAAGCACATCCGAGATCTCCTCCATGCTTATTGGCAGCTCCTGCCCGGACATCTACCGTATGCGAAGCATGTCGAAAAGACGGTCGAATACGTGCGCAAGCTGAAGAATTGTGAGCCGCATCTCTGATTGCATGCTTAATTATGTTTCTACACCACATAGATCACCATGAAAGCAATGTGTCGCTGGCAAGACTGTCGCGGTCTGCTGATATACTACAGTTGCATATGTGTGGCAAGGCAATGTAACGAACTTGCAATGAATGCTACACGCTCACCCTGAATCATAAACCGAAAGGGGCTGAGGTATTTCTTCGAGGACTACTGCAGAGCTCAGGGTGCAGAATTCTAGTTTGGTTTAGGGCGTACGCAGGAAACCAGAAGCCCCAAAACAAGCCCGCCATGCACCCTTGCTGAGATCCTAAAACGCGTATAGGCCTATACAGAGTTCATCGTCATGCACCCCTCTTACGCGCACAAACACCTTTTTAGACTTCTGAAACACGCTTTAGGTAGATTTACGAAACACATTTTGGAAACAGCTTGTCTGGAGAACAGGTCGTAACACATGTTCGATTCACCTTCTCTTTGAAGCAGGTGTCCAACATGCGGTGCTATGGGGGGCGTAGTAGCCTGCGATAAACCTTGCATCTAAAACCCCAAAACCCTACACCCACAGCCTTTACTCAGCTAAAGCCCAATTCCAGCCTGTGATCTCCCTTAGACACCCATAGACTTTAGGGTTTAGGGTTTAGGGTACTGGCTCCCTGAACTTTTCGGTTGTTAGTATAGAAGGAAGGAATGGAACAGCAAGTGGAAACTGCTGGAGTGTTTTGGGGTTTTGGGTTCCGGGTTCAGGGAGTGGCAGAGAAAATGGAAACCACTAATCCCCTCTCCCTAATATCAAAACCCCGCCCCCCACCCAATATCAGATACTTTGCATTGTTGTATATTTTAATATATTGGGCACATTCAATCAGGGGGAGGTGGTTTTAATATTAGGGGGGGATTAACTATGTTATTGTGGGGTTGTCTAGCAGCTACTGTGGGGGATCCATTCCTCCCTTCCCTACGCATGACCAGTTAGCAAAATCCAATTAACGCTAAGCCCCTACCTTTTGCAGTGCTTAAGCGCGCCAGCGATAGATCAATCTCCTGAAGGTCTGAAACCCCAAACCCTTTACTGTAACAAGTACTGTGAGCTGCAGTCTAAACTCCTAGTATCCGCTGAACAACCCCTATACCCCCTATATTATCCCCTAACCCCAACCCTAAACCCTAAACCCTATATTATAGGATCCCTATATAACCCCCCTTTAAGGAGTTCAGATTATACCCTAAACCCTCAACCCTAAACCCTATATTATATGATCCCTATATAACCCCCCTTTAAGGAGTTCAGATTATACCCTAAACCCTAAATCCTAAACCCAGATTATGGCCCATGTGAGCCCCAAGCTCCTCATCGGGGCGCCCGGCCAGGAACGCACTGAAGGCCTGCTGGTCGTGAGTGTACACCTGACGGTCATTGGAGGGATTTAGGGTTTTTGGGTTTGGGGTTTAGGGTTTAGGATTTAGGGTTTTGGGGCTTAGGGTTTGAGGACTTAGACTTAGGGTGTATGGGCCTGAGGGTGGGGCATGAGTGTGCAGGGTTTAGGATGTTTGGGGTGTAGTGAGCTGGAATCTGCTTTACCCTAAACCCTAAACGCTCATAAGCCCGAATGGACAGTAATAAACCCTACTTAACCCCTACTTAACCCTAAACCCTAAACCCTCAACCCCAAAGTTGGTCTAGTTCCTTGTTTTTGGCTGCGGCTGCTGCAGGATCCTGATGTTGGGGGCTTCGGATTGCCAAACTTTCCTTCATACCTAAACCCTAAACGCTAATAGTAGATAGAATGTGGCCTTGGGCTTTTTGTAATAAGATCCCCATATACCCCATATTCTAGCCCTAAACCCTAAACCATCAATAGTAATTTCCATCTTATTTTCCATTATCCAACATAAACCTAATATGCATCATTAGAGCGCGTGGCTGGTGCTTTAGGACTTACGGTAAATCATCAGGGGTGGAGGTTTCATTTGTAGGGTGAGTCACTTACCCTACTAATGAAACCTGCACCCCGGTAATCACGAATAGCCTCTTGGCACTCTCTCATCAAAAGCAACCCTGAACCCTAAACCCTAAATCCTAACCCCTAACTCCTAACCCCTAACGCCTAAACCCCCCTAAACCCTCTCATCATTTGACTTCGCCGACCTCAGCTTGGATCAAGCGGGTCTTGCGATCTTTGCGCTGGACAGTAAGAAGCAACATGAAGCAACCCTGGACCTTAAACCCGTTCTACCGCGCATGAGAACACTTATGATAGTAATAGTAGTAACAGTAGTAGTAGTAGTCGTCGTCGTCGTCGTCGTCGTAGTAGTAGTAGTAGTAGCAGCAGCAGCAGCACTAGTAGTAGCAGCAATAGTAGTAGCAGCAATAGTAGCAGTAGTAGTAGCAGTAGTAGTAGTAGTAGTAGCAGCAGTACTACTACTACTACTACTATTACTACTACTACTACTACTACTACTTAATAACAATAGTAGTAGTCATAATAAGAATAATAGCAGTAAGAATCATAATAATAATTCTTCCAATAGTGTATGCTCACGGCTCTCGAGCATGTCTGCGGAGCTACTCGCACTAGCTTGGGCTCTTAGCTTCCCCCAAGTGCTCAAGGGCTGACCCCAAACCCTAAACCCTAAACCGCGCAGCACCCTTTGGGAGCCATGTACGTCAAAACCCAACAAAGCCGCTTCACGTGAACCTCAATGCCCGAACGCCAACTAGCAAGCCCCTAGACACCCTACACCCCGGTAAGCCCCAAACCCTCGTCTGTAGCTTTCATGAAAGAACAAGAAATGTTCTTTATGGATGAAAGCTGTGAGGTTCCTTGAAGAAATAACGTCTTACTCTGCTTTGCTCCACCCCGCGCCCGTAATCATTGCGATAACAGACACCCGATACATGCCCTAGACAACACATGCCAGCCAGGACTCCAAAAAAGATGTATGAGGTGTATTTCGCAAAATGTGGTTCCCTTTCACCCTTAGAAACACACAAAATGTCCTTTGTTTTGGGATTTGCATGTAGTTCGACTAGACCCTAAACCCAGGCAGAACTCCCTTGGACAGGGGCATGCTCGTACATCCAGGACAGAACGAGCAACAGCCAGTCGGCAACCACCTGCACAACAGGCTGGACTGACTGCCACAAGCCCAAGGGTTCGTGGTGTTTAGGAGTAGGGTCTAGGCCTTTTGATACAGCATGTGAATAGTTTCTAAACCCTTTAGCCTTCTAATCCAAGCTGCAACACACTCCTCATGGGAATGGGAATGGGGATGGGAATGGGAATGGGGGACTGTGGGCTTTCCTGGAAGTCTCAGAGATCTTGTTTGTGGCAAGCAAAGGCTGTGGCTTGTATGTTTTGAGATTTGAGATTTTGGGCTGGGAGTTTGCGGTCTAGGGGCTAGCAACTAGAGCCTACCATAGCAAATTTCGAATTACATGTCTTCTCAGAGCCATATTTAAACTCCTCTTGGCAGGAAAACTTTGCATGAATCCATGCACAGGGCTTAGGGTTTAGGGCTCAGCAGATTTTACCTCAGCTTTTTGACTGTGGATGCAAGTCCTTTCTCCGGAGATTGCCTCAGGAGCGCGGAATCTTCAAAGGGGCCTTTGCTGGGAACCCCAAACAGGGAACCCCAAGAATAGTAGGAATATAATAGAAATGTACCTACCAGGGTCCGAATATTCGAAAAATTATGTTCCTATTATGTTCTTGAGATTCCCTGTTTGGGGTTCCCAGTAAAGTCCCTTTAAGATCGGGCACCAAAGGGGTGTTCTCAGGGAAAAGGCTCCCCCTCATCTACCCTATAGACTTGAATCCGCGCTAGAAACCTTCCTACAGGGCCCCAAAGCAAATGCCAAATTTCTGGAAACCCTCATCTTGGGAAAGAGTTGTGAAGATTGAAATGGTCACTAAGACAAGCTTCCGAATCCTGAGCCAATTGTCTTCAAGCGTTGTCCCATAATTACCTGGATTTCGGGATTGGGTTAAGGGTTGAACGATTAGGGTTTGAAACTTTTGTGGGGGGTGAGTGATACAGAACCCTTCAACTTTTGACTCCAACCCCTTTTGCGCATAGTAAAGCCCGTTCGAACCGAATCATTCAAGTTCAAACTTGAATGGAAGAGCTGCAAACTTCCTCCCTAGTGCTCTTAAGAGGGCCCTTATGGTGCCCTGTAACTTACACATCTGCTGGGCCCTTCGGGGCTACCTACTTTTGGCCACGCATGAACACCTGCCTGTGTGGCTTTGAAGAACCTTGCGCACCACCAGGGGTTCAGGTCAGGGGCTTTAGCTGCTCCGTGCCGGGGCTTAGCATTTAAGGTGTTTAGTTTTCCGTAAGCCCTTCCCAGCTATATTTACGCTTGCTAGTTAAGGTGGTCAGTTTTCCACACGCCGTAGCCCAGGTCACTTTTGACGTTGAGGTTCTGCGTTTTAATTAAGGTCTGTTGGACCTACAAACTCGCTACGCGTCTGTTGGACCCACAAACTCGCTACGCGTCTGAAATTGTGCCTGTCATAATAAACCCTAAATCCTAAAAATCTTCCTGTACTTGAGGTTGGGATTCGAAGCCTGTGTTGTTCCTATCCCCTTGGCTCCTGGGAGTAGCGACGCCTTTCTGCTTGAGAGTAGGGAATGAGGAAAGGTGGTTTGAGGGTTTAGGGTTTAGGCAGAAGCCCCTTTACATTCAGGTTATACTGGGATAATGGAAATAAAATGGAAACTACTATTTAGGTTTTACAATTTAGGGCTAACTCTCAAAATCCCAAATTCATATGTAGGGGGCATGGCGCACGTGGCTTCTGCTCGTACCTTCTTCCCTCGTGCACAGCTACCATTACATACTCCCTACTGCTATACCACTGGTGTTGTAAAGGAGCAGTGGCGACGAAACTTTCTGATGCCTACCAGTGAGTTCGAGAGTGGACCCCCATATGAGCA